CCCCAAAACCCCAAAACCCCAAAACCCCTACACTCTTAAATTGTTAAAGAATTTCGACTTGATAAATATAAGGATTTTAAATTCTGGAATAAAGTTTACAAATTTAACAATTAAAGTTCTTAAGTTATCGATCAATGCACTTATAATCTTAACTGAATTTGAATTATTATCAAATATCGAACCCTTTTTTACATCGAAATTGGCAGCTAAATGTTGAAATCAGCAAATTATTATTCCTTATTATTGAACTTGCCAGTAATTGTTAAAGTATTGGATCTGTACAGACTAAAAGACACATAACATCTATGCTCAAATTTGAATATCAAGTCAGAGTAAGATGAAAGTTGGGCTAAGAAGGATAACATAAGTCTGACCATAAATGTAAGGAAAGGGTAAATGACTTTGAAATTTTGAAAATCAAAATGTAAAAATCTAAAGAATATTTTACCTTTAAAGACACAAATAAAAGTACTTGAGTTTAGTTTAAAAGTGCAAATAAAGTCAAAAAAGAGTATAATGACTAAATTTTAAGAAAATTACTTCAGTTGTATGAGAGATAGATAGTCTACGAAAATCGACTAAAATCATTTGTAAATAGTTTGAGCAACAAATCGAAAAATAAAAAGGTAAGGAAGTTTCTCCAATACAACTTTAAACAGGACATTTGCTCTCCAAGTACATTTTTATTGATATACTAGGCAAAGCTTTTTCTCGAGATAAAGTTGAGAAACTACTCAAGATGCTTTCTAAGAACACGCATATCTTAATGAAGGAAAACAGTAAAATCATAGAAATGCTTACAGTGTCTCTTTCTTTCTTTCCTCAGTTTCATAAAGTTGTAAAGAAAATTTCCCACAAATCAGAGCGGGCTGAGTACTCTGCTATTGGTAGATGGAATGACAGCTGGGTAGTAGGTGGAAAGGATCGCTACTCACACTAAATTACAGTGCTGAACAAAAATCTCAAAGTAGAAGCAAAGCACTAGATTCCACATCCTATTTATTGCATGATCATTGTTTAAGACTTAGCTTGTCTAGGATGCCAGCACGGTCTTCAGCTTTTGGACCTTAAAACATCAGCTTTTGTTGAATTGTAAAAGAGTGAACAGCCAATAAGAACAATTCTGCAAGATTAAAGCAACCAAAGTATCATTGTATCTGTCAGTGGAAATGGCATTTTTTAGGTTGTAAATCTGAAGACAAAAGCACTTTTATACCGAGTGAAAGTGTGCGACAAAGTAAAGTGCATGGTCAGCACCACAACTCCAAACGAATACGCCTTTGCAACCAATAAGGGTGTGATTATTGGAACTCTGGATCCTTAGTAGAGCTACAAATTTACAAAGAACAATGCAGAAACTTACTTCGCTGATAAAGCTATAGGCTTTATGGCCTAAATCGATGGAATGTTTCTTGTGATCACCTCACATACTGGATAGGTAGTTGATGACTCAAGCTGGGGTTGGAGCAATACAACCATATACACTGCAACTCTAATTAACCGGGAGACAAAGAAAGAAATCTAATTTAGCGATGGAGTATCCGAAGTCTACAGTGCTCAGCAAGTGAAGGGATGCAATGGCCTGTTGATGCTTCAGATGTACAGTCTCTGCCTTCTTGATATTGAGAATCTGAAAGTCACTCATCTTTGCAGTAATTCTTTGGGTTTTCATGACAGAGATTTGACAAGCACTTTCTGCTAAGTGGACAATGGGAATGGTCTGCAAATAGGGATGGTTTCGTTCGATTAAAAAGTCTCAGCTGTGAAGATTTGCTCCTTTAAATATTGATATTTTATTCCTTAATTCCGTGTGGAGTATTTTGTAAGTGCTTAATTTTAATTTACCTATTGCCAAAATTATAAATGAATTACCTCAACTCATTATTATAAATATTAATTTGTCGTCTCCCAAAATATGGAGCAAAGAACGTCTCAGAAGTTTCAATAATACGCAACTAATAGGTAGAACAGCTTTGAAACCAACTAAAAATTTCAAATATAGAATTGCTGCATTGAATAAGTGGAAAGATTTGATGGAATTGCACCAAAGACAAAGCAATTGATTGTTGTCACAATTTTGGACTGACATAGACATGATGTGAACTTGGATACACAACTCTCACCACACTTGTGTGAATCCACCTATTTATGATCTTACTCCATAAGAAATGAAAGAATAAACCAGGCGAATCTGTGCTGGATAGTCTTTTGGTAGACTCATTTCCAAAGACCAAAACTATGACCAGCACAAGCAAGAACAAAAATACAGTAGTCCCCAAGCTAGTTCCACTTTTCAAAGTAGGAGAGACAAAAATATGAGAAAGATCTAAACTGAAATTTTGCCTCAAATCATCAACAGCCAATACTTTTAATGAAAATAAACTGCAACTAGCATCCACTGTTATTCTGCATGCCTCTGCAGCGTTTTTTGGTAAAGATGAGCTTGAAGGAAAAACACTGTGGCAATTCAAAACTTGCAAGATTCCTTTAAATAGGACGAACCTTAATTGATTGAAACTACTAAAATCATGCCTATCACGCTTAACGAAGGCTGAATCTGATCGACTGACTGTATGTATTTGACATTTGTTTTGCTGCCATATTAAGCAAACTTGAGTTAGCTGTACTAATCTTAATTTTGAATCTAAGATTATTGAATATTTATCGTATTAAAAACTGGCATGATAGATAATTGTTCTAAAGACTTTATTCCTTACCAAAAATAAGCATTTAAATAGAGATTGGAGGGCAGACAAAAAATTCCTACATAAATTTGATGAGCAACAGACAATACACAGGGGAAAACTTGAAGACTAGCCTAGAAACGAATTTTATGCTAAGTCAATTAACTCGAACAAAGTTCTAATAAGAGATATAAAGAGGTCATGGACGTCGGATCCAGGACTGGAATTTTTGAGCATGATGGCTGCAAGGGCAGGAGAGAAATATGCTTATGCAATTGAAATGAGTAAATTTGGTGTCAAAGTTTTTGAAATAATAGGTTAGAATATTCTCACAGATAAAATTAAGGTAAATATAGAAAAGCTAAGTTTAGAAGATGACATAATAATTTTAGAATTTGTTGGGTATTGCTTCTTTTATGAAGCAAAGTTTAAAGTGAAATTTTTGCTAGAGATAACGCTTTGAAAGCTTCCTTCATCAAGATAACTAACGTCGGTGAGATTTTATAGCAACCTTACTAGATATAGAGCCTGAATTCAAAAAATTTACTGGTTATGATTTTAATGAAATTATTGCATCTAAATAAAGTTAAGCTTTAATTTTATCAATCAATTAAAGTAGATTTAATTAGGAATCTTAACTTTTACAAATTTTTGATTTGTCTAAAATAAGTGTCTATGGGGTTTTGGGGTTTTGGGGTTTTGGGG